AAAAAAAAAAAAATTTATATATATCTATGTGTATATCTGATGATTCAGGTTCCATTTATATTAAGGTGGACAGTAAGGTGCAAGGTGGACAAGTCTAGTGCATGAGGACAGAAAGTAGGACATGCTGGGGTCAAGTGCCACCCCAGCACCTGATAGGGTGTCCCCTATCAAGGGGGACAAAAGCTTGTTTGCCTGTCAGACTGCCTCAGAATTGCCAGCACGACTTTGCCCCACCTCGGTGTTGGGTGTCTATTTATTAGTTTGCATGTCTTTGTAGGAAACACGGCTTTTGTTGCTGAAGAAGAGGGCAGTGGAGGCAATATTCAAAAAAGAAAAAGGAAAAAGAAGAAGAAGAACCACCCCCAGCCTGAGAATTCAGGCCCAAGCAATGAAGTCCCATCCCTAGAACAGAATGGGGGCACGTCCAGCACCGGGGAGGAGAGTAGCTCAGAGCACCTTCACTCTGCCCCCATGCACAGTAAGAGGAAACGGCCACGAGGGAAGGGCCTACCCGCCCATGGGGAGACCTCAGAATTGGCAGTGTCACCTGTGGAAGATGTGTCCCAGAGTGACCTGAGTAGTAGGAATCCTCAGGGACCTGCCTCCAGAGGTTCCCCAGCAGGTAGAGCCCAAGTCCTGAAAAGGAAGCGGAAACTTGGAGCTCCCCCAGCCAGTGGCAGCAGCCTGGCCACACTGGCCTGGCCTCCAGTGCAGAAGGATGACCCTCCAGCAAGCCCAGCAGAGGGAAGGTACAGCCAAACCACCCTGCCCCTGTGCAGAAGACTACAAAAAAAGAAGGCAGAGCCCAGCAGCCTTGGCCTCTGTGACCTGTCCAGTCAGAAAACAGCAATCTTGAAAAAGAGAAAAAAGATGAAAGAGATGGCAAACTTGGCAGAACACAGTGGAGTTTTGGGGTCCAAACTCAGGCAGATGCAAGCTCTGGTAAGGCTGGAAGGGCCTAAGACAGGTGCACTGAGGCTCAGGAAGAGGGGAGGGGCAGCAACCAGACCTCTGCTCCAGCAGAGTTAGATTAGGTTGTAGTGACAACCTAATGACAGACACCCGTCTCAGTAACCAAGTTCAAGTCCTCCAAAGCCCGCACATCCCTCAACCACATTCTCCAAGGTCAGGGAAACCTCAACACCACACTAGGAGAATCATCGCCCTGTGGCAGGCTTGGGTCTCTGCCAAGCCCACCTGCCAATCTTGTCCCACATAACCTTTTTAATGGAAAGAATTTCTCTCTGCTTGGATCTCTGGAGCCAGATACAAACGAGGGTCTGGGCCCTTGACCTGCTGTCCACGCACGTCTGGGCACAGAGCTGGGTAGTGGTAACAGATCCATGGCCCCTTATGGACGCAGAGTGCTGACCCACCACATTCAGAACTTGCATACATACGTGCCATTCTGCAGTAGTTCGGACACTGGGGCCTTTGAGGGGACTTGTGCAAACTTGGTACAGAGCGGGCTTGAGGCCTTTCTAACAGTATCTCTGAGTGGTTAAATGGGTTGGGTGGGTGAGTTTGTGGTCAGTGGGAAGTCTAGGGGGAGGATAGGAGGTGGTTCTGGTTGCGGCTTCCCTGGCTGACTGGCCGCCATCCCCTTCTGTCCTAGGCAGCATCCACCCATCACTCCCCATCTCTAGTGCTTTCTTCCCCAGGAGGAGCAGAGATAGAACCTCTCTTGCTGTCTTCTCAGGCCCCTGGCACCTGTTTCAGAAAAGACTAGAGTGGTCACTGAGTCAGTCCTAGGGTCAGGGGAGTTTTTCCTTCCTAAGACAGGCACTGTCTGACGTCTCTTGGCAGGGGGGAGGAGCAGCCCTTCCTCTCAGGAGCCACCTAGAGCCTGAGACCCCAGACCAAGAGCCAGGCCTGGGTAGCTCCCAGCTGTAGCATTCCACACGTGTCCTGTCCCCGCCTAGGCAGCCCACAGAGCCCAGCTGGATGCCTACCTCTAGACCAGGCTGTCAGCCAGCAGATGGGAAAGTAAATTACCAGATGGGCTTTGAAAGGCAAAGTGCTCGGCACACTGGCATAAGCTTGACAACAAAGATATGGGGGCATGGCAGAGAAGTCAGGCATTGTTGCGTCATTCTGCTAAGTGAAAGGGCTCTTTGCAAACCCAAAGCAGGAACAGGGGCTGCAGGGTGTCCTATCTCACTCCTGTGTGCCAGGGCTGACACTAGAGGCTCCGTGGTACAGCACCTCTCCCTTACTCCCATAGGGAAGCAGTGGGACTCTCAGCCCTTTGAAGAAGCAACAACTGAGGACAGAGAACAACTTTGTGAAGTTTGACACCCCCTTCCTACTAAAGCCCCTGTTCTTCAGAAAATCCAAGAGCAACACTGCCACCTGCTCTCAGGGTCCTGCCGTCCAGGTATGTACCCTCCCCAGAGCAGCCTGTGCCCTCCTCAAGGACATGAAAATGTGGGTGCCAAGCCTGGGGTCCCCCTGGCCTTCCTCAGCCCAGGGTCTCTCAGCAGGCTTTTGGCTTCTGGAGAGAGGCAGGTTCTGTGAAAAGAGCCCAGGTGACTTGGTGGTATTTCCAGGCAGTGTGGGGTCCTCCCCAAGGGTCACAGTCGAGGTAGGGGAATCCTTAAGCTGTGATTGATGACTCACATTCTGCTCATGAATCGCTTCTGGTAATAAAGCAAAAGTGGTTATAGGTAGTAATAGGGGATTCACAAAGAAATAATGGGGTGCTAGGAAGAAATTGAAGGGAGTGTTTCATGATGTAATATGGATCAGCTTTTAGGAGTTTTTCAAATAGGAAAGAATGTAGTTAATTTTGATGAACTATTGGAATAT